ACCATAAATGAATGAACAAAACAAGATATTATTTTCAAATATGATAAAGTAACTTTGAAAGTCACTTGCTTAAAGTATTATTAGAATATTTTCCATATTATTATTATTATTACTTTATGATACAGTTCCATAAGCTCTGGGATTTTTCTTACCCCTCACTAAACCCCTTCCCCAGCTGACTTTCCCCTATATTATCACAACAGTATGGTTCTTCATAAACATTCATAAGTCCATCATTGCAGGCATGAACAATGACAGAGACTCCAGCATCTTATTGTCAAGATACAATTAACAATTTCATTGGGAGTCCATCTGGAATGAAATGCATACTGCATTGTATCCTCACGTCTGGATTTGATAGTCTCCATACATAGTTACTATATCTCTCCTTAAATGAAAAGCCACAAAAATAAAATCAATAGCAGGAAGAAAACCAGAAAATTTACAACAACATGAAGTTAAAGAACATGCTACTGAATGACTAATATGTCACTAAAGAAATGAAAAAGAAAATCAAGAACCTTCCTGAAGAAAATATTACTATATGTCAGTGAGGAATTTAATATGAGAAAAAAATGTTTTAAAGAAATAAAAATTGCTTCTCGGCCATTTGGCTAAGATCAAGTGTGAAGAAATAAAAATAAAAATGAAAGCATAAAAATCCATTAAGTAAAGTTTCCACTGATCTTTATTGGTGAAATGTGTCTCCTGTAAGCAACAGATAGATGGGTTTTGTTTTTTGATCCAGTCTACTCAACTATGATGTTTGATTGATGAGTTTAAGCCATGTACATTCAGGGTTCATATGAATACACTGTAATTTGGTTCTGTCATTTTAGCAATAGGTGGTTCATTACTTGACTTAGTCAATTGTTGTTATTTGACTATAATGTTCTTCACATTTGCCTTTAGTTTGGTGGATGCTAATATTTTTTAATTATTATTAATATATTCTAAAATTAAAAAGCCATAACCAGAAAACAAATAAGAACCATACACAAAAATTTTAACACATATTATCATGCCAACAAATTTATTCATCTTCATTTTTGCTGACAACACCATAAAAGCAAAATTGACACATATTAGACTGACTGGACAATTGCTTCAGCTAGTAGCCCCCAAATCGCAACTCTACTAATGCTTCTTGCTTGGTTATGTAAGTCGAATAAATAGCAAGAGTGGGGTGTGAGAGCAAAATACACTGTGTGGTAAAGCTGTTTTGAAGTCTCAATAATTTTACACTGTTGATTATTCCATTCCCTATCACATTAAAGTCCTTCACTGGGTGCCTTATATAAATGAAGCCAAGAGATGTTCGAAGTGAGAAAGCCTATTTCAGGGATGGGAGGTTCTTGGTTCCAGGTACAGAAATTGGCATACCACTTCCATGCACTGTCTGCTGGCCAAAGACATTCTCACCTTCTGAGAGGTAGACTGAGCCTCACCATCCAGCTAAGCCCACCATCTACTGAACATAGACCTACACTGTGCTCTGCACTACAGTGGTCAGGGTAACTGAATTAGTCCTCAATATGCCGCAAATAATGGGGCACAACACTTTGGAATTTAGTCTTCCTTGCTTTTTACTGCTTCCCCTTCACTAACCATTTCAAGAATTTTATACCATGATAGGTTTACCCAATACCTGCCCAGTTTGATTGCAGACTCATAGCTCCCTGCCAACTTAGAACAGATCCCAAGACAGAGTAGAATGACATTCTATGAAATGTGTCAGTGATCTAGATAATGAACACACATGGATAAGTTAAGTGTCCTAACACCAGCAGCTCTAAGTTGTAAATCAGCTAGTTGACCTTGACACCAAGAAAAGCAGGAGCTTTAAACACACTAGTTCATCACAGCATTCCTTGTCTCCAGTAGTCTTAGTCAGAAGTGTTCTAACATGTCCAACTTGGGTGTCACTCTAGACTCATGCTGCACCCACAAATTGTGGCGTGAACCTTCTGAGCCCACAAAACACATACCCCTGGAACTTAGATGTAAACCTTAGGTGCTGCACCAAGCTCCAATGGTGCATTTTCAAGAATAAAGCCTTTAACTTAAAGAAGCCATCCATTCACCAGAACTAAAAGAAATAAGAGATACTCTAGATGCACAAAAGTCAATGAGAAACATGATCAGGAAAGGCAGTCAGACTCCCCCAAAGAAAAACAATAATATTGCCTGGCCTGTGAAGAAAAGAAGATAAAGAAAACATCTGAAAAGAAAACCATAAGAATCACTTTAATATTTTTTCAAAAAAAGGAGTTAATTAATTTAGGAAGTGAGATGCTGCTTAGCAATAAATAAGAATGAAATTCTGACCTTTGAAACAACCTGTATGGAACTGGAGATCATTATGTGAAGTGAATAAGCCACACCTAGAAAGACAAACACTACATGTTCTGTCCTTTTGTGGAAGCTATTGTGTACATAGAATACACAGATTGTGTGAATGTCATAATTGCAAGTATTTTTTCACTGAATTCCACAATGCAAATGACAATACTCTCTTCTTTCCTCACATTATGTACATTGTTACCAGTTCCTGACTTTATGATATTAATATATGTGCATATCTATAATATTTACATTTAAAATGAGTGTGGCAAAATGTTCTTAAAATTGTAAAATAGTAAAAAATCAAAAAATTTTAAAAATAAAAAAAATACTTGAAAAGGAACTCAGGCAGAGAATGATGAGTCCAGAAAAATGGAACATGCAAAATGAGTTCTCTCATAATTGAGTGGTAAATAATCGAACTACACTCAGAACTTGTATGCTTACATAGGTATATTTAAGTTTGGGTGTTCTAGAAAACTGATGCAGGTTTTGCTACTTTATTAGTCTTTTCATAATTACTGTATAATAATAAAATTTAAATGTGAAGTGCAGAGTACCATGTTTGTGGAGTCAGAGAAAACTAATGGAGAACCAAGAAAAACAAAGGAAATATTTGCTATATCATACTGATGGTTTTGAAGTCAATATGTGATAGTAAATTAACTGTCAAAAGAAGAAACCTTTCATCAGAAATATTTCTCCAGTTTTATTTTATCCCTATTTGCTACAACTGTCAAGCATTCCGAACAATTAAAATTCTTTAATGAGTATTTTTATTTTTTGCTGTGGCATCTAGAAGAGAAAATTTGAACCTGAGAATGTTGACTGGTAACCAATTAATCAGGCCATTCATCTAACAAAAGCTAGCTTTACTCTCACTGTTGGCACTCCTCCTGTCAATTAACAGCTTCTTAATAAGCTTAAAATACACACTGTAAATCCCATTACCTACACAAAGAAAGATGCCATTAATTGCTGGAGAAATAAATGTCTACTCTTCAAAAACTTTCTGCAGCCTTTCTGGTATTTATGAAAGCAAAGATACAGCAGAAATGCTGAGAAAATGATAGTCTCTTTAATGACAAAAGAAAAAAGTAAGATAAATTGAATGTGTACACACATTTCAGCCCCTGTTCTTAATGTCAATATGGAATTACTGAAGAATTCCAGAAAATGTATATTTTCTCTGTACTAGGGCTACTAAAAGTAAAAGAAAGGAAATTTCTTTGGTCTTCTATGCATCTAATCACTTCTATGTGACAAAATAAATCTACAAACATCCTTAGTTACTCAATGCAAAATTGCTCTCTCCAGACAATAAGAAACTTTTAAATAAATTTTTCATTAATTTCTCAACAGTTTGGCAATAATCTACATATATACCTTCTCTATCAAATAAATACCTGTCATCATGCATATTCATATTTATATAGTAGTATCTGAAAATTCAAATACATACAAATGATAAATTCAGACTTCAAAATTAAGTATGAATGTATTAAAATAAAAGTATCACTATTGGTACCACAAGTAGCTGCTCTGTTAAGAGCTAAGTGCTCTTGGTTTAATCCTTGTTACAACCAAGTGAGATAGGTACAAATTTCATTCTTAATTTACACACAAGAAAATTGTGTCACACAGAAGTCATTTCTAGAAAGACACAATATTATTCAAGTTTTTAAATGTAAAGTCTCAGTAGGACAGAAAAAGAGAGAGAAAGAGAGAACTTCAATACAGAATGCAGGCATCACAAAGTGGGGCTCTTAAATAACACACCAAACACTCATCCAACATCACGCAATTTGGAAATTACAGAGTAACATAGAAATGAATTGGCCTCAAAGCTCACTCTTGATACTTACGTGTCTTGGAACAAAAGCACAGAAGCTATCTCCGCTCAGATGACACACAGGCAGTTGTGGAATATGTGGTGGGGCATGTGAGGGAAGGGGAGTGCACAGTTGCAATACAAGGCCCTGAGGGAAGCTGAATTAGTATCAATCATTCCTTAAGTATTTCAATAGAGAAAGTAATAAGCACAATGCGCTGAATTTGTAAGAAAAATACAAAACCAAATTGGACTAATAAGAGTTATAGCCTCAGCCAATTGCATCTATTTCACATCTCTTTGGAAAAAACTACTGTGAGCCCCAATCAACCACATCAATTTCATACCTTTTTCAAAAATAAGCACTGCTCAAGTAGTCATCCTTTGACAGAAATGGGAAATGAAAAAAGAGATTTTTACTTGTAATTGGTTAGCCTTCCTGAATTGTTGTCTGGGTGCTAAAAGTTTATATCTGCACCCTGGTTTTAAAAGTCTTATAATTTACATTCAGAGTCAAATATCTTCTGTACTTTGTAGGATTATAATCACCTACATGTTTTTTTTAACTCAATGAGTTAGCTAATTACTATTTCAGAAAACAAAAGGGTAAATGCTGTCATGTATAAGCAACTAGCATACTAGAAATTTCACAATGCCCACGGTATACACATTCTTTTTATATTTTGTTAAATTCTTTAGATGCACACACAACCTAGGAGGCAGACTCTGATATGCACATGAGCATTCAAGGAGTGCTTCAACGGCCACCACTTAGGAAAGAAAGGAAAGAAATGCAGCACTGAACTGGGGTTTGGGGATGAGAATAATACCAGAATGCAGGTCCCACGAAGTTCCTACATTTTAGGACGTGGAAGGACATTCAGAATGGCATCAAATCGACATCTTGTGGATCATCAGAGGTCCACATTGGTTAGTCACTGGATACAGACTTAACCTAAAAGGAGGTGATATAGATTAGTTATATTTCTTTAACTGAGATATTCTTTCAAGCAAAATAAGTGTCATTTTTGGAAATACCCTCAACTTTACAGACTTAATCTAAAAGAAGAAGTGATATAGATTAGTTATATTTCTTTAACTGAGATATTCTTTCAAGCAAAATAAGTGTCCTTTTTGGAAATACCCTCAACTTTATTTCTAAAGCAAGATTCAACTGGCACATCACAATATCTACTGTAAAGATAAAGCAGTTATATAACACAGAAATAAGAAACAAGATACATAAAAATAGAAATTAAAGGTATATACAATTGTGCAAAAAAATTGAAACTCATGCATTACTTTTTGGTTAATACCCCATTTTCATGAAATTCTTGAAGATCTCCTATATTTATCAAGCACACTACGTACTTATAGTATATATTATACAATATATGCATGTGTATGCATATATGAAAAGCATGAATTAGTGTGTTTTGCCTAGATATTAAAGCAAGCATTGAAAGATTATATTTTAAGTCTCTAATAAGACTCAATGTAAGTTCAATATCTTCCATTTAGCTAAAGATTATGACAACAGTATTATTTCTAACTATCACTCTTAAAGGACAATTATTATTGATACAAAAATTCTCACTGTTATTTCGTTATTTTGTGGGAAATAATTTAAATCTGCTTAATTGTTAAATAATGTCTGGAAATAATATTTCTTTTTTGGTATATCTTCATAATTTACTTTTTAAAAGGTGATTGGCATATAATATAAAACCATGAAATTTAAATAAGCGTACAGATAAATGAGTTTTTGTCCTGTGATCACATCCATGACAATGTTACTTTTCTTATCAATATGCCAATCTGTACACCAATCTAAAATTTTACACAGATAAAACCAAAGGAAAAACAGCAATTTTTAAAATAAAACTGTCAATGAAGTTTTAATTATCTAAAGGTTCATTTTAATTATAGAAGCAGGGATTTGTATATGTGTGTGTATATATTGTTTGTGTACATGTATATTAATTTAAACTGGTATTCTTCTTGTAAAAAGGATTTTAATGGATACCACATCTAAAGTAATAGATACTTACTAATAATCTTCATGTTTCTTTATATTGGACATATGTAAAACTTACAATGTTATATAAATCACAACAGATCTCTTCATCTTGTAATTTTATATTTAATTTATTTATTTCCAGATGTAGGAGAACATTTCAAATACAAAACAGAGATTAAAGGCTTTTTCAAAATGACAAATGTACACTTTGTCATTTTGGTTTTGGTTTGAGGTCTTTGGTCATGGAGTAATATAAACACAGAAAAAAATTACAAAACAGGATTGCGAAGGACCTTTCAGTAGGAGTTCAGCATGCTCTTGAACATACAAATGAACAAGTAAAGCTTTCTGTTTGTTGAACCCAACACAATACGTTTGTGCCTGACAGTGTCATCAATAGATCCCATAACCAAATTCACAAACATCACCCAGATATTAAGAAATCTGTTACAGTGTGTATGAAAATCAGAATCAGAAGGAAAAGCAAAAGCATGGGATAGGAGAGGAAAAGATGTAAAGGTCGAATGAGCATAGACCTCTGTTGTCTCATGGAATTTGCCCCAGGTTCTTAGAAAAGATGCTAACTTAGGCTACCCTATTGAATCGGCTCTTAGAAGGTACATTCACTTGGACACTTTAATGGAAATTCCACCCTTATTAAAATACAAGTTTCAAAACCATTTTAAAATTAGTTAAAATGAATTTATTAAAACATTTACTTAAGTGATTGTTGAAGGAAGCTGTAAAACTGTGTCATTAACTTTACTAGCATAAAATTAAAAATGAATACCCAAACTGATCTTCTGAGACACAACATTTCCTCTCTCAAGATTCAGCCTTGAAACTGAATATTCTTCCTTTACGGTCATCTTGATGAATGCTTCAGTGTCACAAACCAAATTCCATCTTGAATATTTCAGTATCACTAACCATTCTGTCTATTCTCTGAGACTGCCTCCGCCCAAATAAGCTGCCATTCCTGAAATATCCATCACTACTTCTGTGATTTAGTTCAATAGTTTTAATTTAACTATTTTTCTCAAAATATGCATCTTTCATTTTGCAGGAACTGTGAACATCCAAAAATGTATCTAATTTATTGTGGTAAAAATTTCTCTTTTTTTCCATGATTGCTAAGCATCTAAGTAGAAGCAAGCTGTTTGAACTCAAGTTATGATGATCTAAGACAAATATTTATTTAAATTTAGTGCAAAATTGACTCTTGGAAAGCCAATGAACACATGAGTATTATTTATGTAATGTCTATTTTGGATAAAACATGCATGTCAATTAGTCTTCCTTTCATTTATCCAACTATGACGAGTTAGAGCAACACTACATAACAGAACAATTATTGAGGCAAAGAGAATTATCAGAGTTTTCCACTCATTGACTCAAAAAATTCTACTCTACTAAACAATAAAAACTCTATCAATTTTTCCAGAAAATCTTTTGATTAAATTTTCTGACATGGTGTGATATAATTGATTGTGCCTATACATCCTCCCCTTTAGCCAAGAAATACTGCACAACAATAATTACCTAACTCAGAATTGCATAATTAGGATCACTAAATTACAAAAGAACTGTTGCAATAACAGTATAACAACTTATAAGGCCAATTAAACTGAATTTTCTTTCTGTTTTAATTTATTTTAATCCAAAAGAGCAATAAACAGGATATGTCTAGTGATGATTTAATAACTATAGTATATTAAAAACATTAGAAATTGTTGCAAAGCTGAAATCTCCAGTGCTCATCACAGATGACATCTTAATTTTTATTCCTTATTTTCTTTTTTTTAAAGACTTATTTATTTTTATCAGAAAGGCAGATATACAGAGAGGAGAGACGAAGAGGAAGATCTGTCCAATGGTTCACTCCCCAAGTGAGCGCATCAGCCGGTGCTGCGCAGATCTAAAGTCAGGATCCAGGAACTTCTTCCAGGTCTCCCACATGGGTGCAGGGTCCCAAAGCATTGGGCTGTCCTCGACTGCTTTCCCAGGCCACAGGCAGGGAGCTGGATGGGAAGTGGGGCCGCCTGAACTAGAACCGGCACCCATATGTGATCCTGGCACATTCAAGGATAGGACTTTAACCGCTACGCTATCATGCTGGCCCCTATTCCTTACTTTCTTTTTTTTTTTTTTTAATCTTTTTTATTTATTATTATTATTGTCATTTTATGATACAGTTCCATAGGCTCCTGGGATTTCACTTATCCTCTCCTCGTTCCCCCTCCCCAACCTAGTTCCTCTATATCATTACTATAGTTCTTCATACACAATCATATGTCCATCATTGTGGGCATGGACAATGGCAGAGAGTCCAGCATCCTATTGTTAGTATATACTAAACAGTTTCATTGTAAGTCCATCTTTGTCTGGAAGTACAGATGCATACTACATTGTAACCTCACATCTGGATAAGTTAGCCTCCATTTCACAGTTACTGTTCATCCCCTTAAATGAAAAGCCACAAAACAAAATCAACAACAGGAAGAAAATAGAAATTAACAACACCATGAAGTTAAATAACATGCTACTGAATGACTAATGAAGAAATGAAAAAGAAAATCAAGAACAGTCCTGAAGAAAATGATGCTACTGTATGATCTATGAGCCATTGAATAATTTAATCAGAAGAAACTACTTTGAAGAGATGAAACTAACAAAAACAAAAACATCAAAATCCATGGGAATTCCACCACTTTCCATAAGCAAGGTCATCCTAGATTAAGGTCAACACACATTAAAATTGAATGATTTAAAAATGCTTATTTAATAATTGAAAAGGGGCAATACAGGCAAAATTACATTTAGTGAACCGGAAGGGCTCAGCTTAACATCTTTCATTGCCAAATTGGTAAAATCGTAGGGCAAAATTAAAACTCCATTTACTTCCTGAAACCAGAAAAGATTCAAGGGCATGGAAAATAAATTTGAAGTTAGGAAATAGATTTCTATCCAAAGTCTCTGACCTCAGTGATTTGAAATCATTTCTAGAATTTTTCTTAAAAGTAAGGACACAAGAAAACAGGATATTAAATTTTTTACATTTTGAAGTCTAGGGCATGCAACAAGCAAGAGTGCTCTAGCCACAATGAAAGAATTCTGGAAACTTTGTTTTGGTCTTTTCTACATCTTAGGTTAGTTGGCTTCACAGCTACCAAATATGTCACTGTAAAGTCACATTGTGTAATGGTAATATTCAATCTAAGAAGATACGAATGGGCCCGGCGCGGTGGCGCAAGTGGTTAAAGGTCCTTGCCTTGCACGCCCGGGATCCCATATGGGCGCCGGTTCTAATCCCGGCAGCCCCACTTCCCTTCCAGCTCCCTGCCTGTGGCCCGGGAAAGCAGTCGAGGACAGCCCAAAGCTTTGGGAACCTGCACCCGCGTGGGAGACCCGGAAGAGGCTCCTGGCTTCGGATGGGCATAGTATCGGCCCGTTGCGCTCACTTGGGGAGTGAATCATCGGACGGAAGATCTTCCTCTCTGTCTCTCCTCTCTGTATATCCACCTTTCCAATGAAAAAAAATAATAAAAATAAATCTTTAAAAAAAAAAAAAAGAAGATACGAATGCTCATATCAAGACACTTTTGGCTGAATCTTAATTTTTCTAAATATTTCTGTTCACAATTAAATATCAACCTCTTCATGCATTCATTTTTTTAATGTCATCTTTCCTAATTTGCCAGTTAATCCTCTTTTCATAGGTAAACTGGCATAACTCATTTCTTTTCCCTTTAAAAATGTTTGACCTTTCTACGGTGACACATTCAGTTAAAACAAAAAAAGCCACCACATTTTGCTATTAAATTCAAGAGAACTGCATTTACCTCCTCTAGATTCATCAGGGTTTAACATTTCTCAAGGATGATGGGTTCACGGAATTTTACAATGCTGTCATCGTTGACATTTGAAAGAGATTTTGTCCTGAGCACTTCAAACTATGAAGAAAAAAAAAGAAAAACCTTTGATATTCAACCAAAATGTCAAATGGGACCTCCATTTAATGTTTTATCATTAAATTATCTAGCATCTAAAGGTTTTCTAAGCATTTATTTTGTATTATAAAATACACCCCTTGGGATCACTTGAAAATTTTTCTATCTAAGCACTTGTTTACATGCAAAATAACCGTAGACTCAGGTCTTCCAGGTTTTGCTGTTGAGCTGTGGAAGGAGTTGGGGTTCAGAGATTTGCTAATGCATCCTGAAGTAACTTCACTGTGTACAACCATTATAAACAACCATGTGAGAACTGATGTCCTTGGTTATCAACACAGAAATGCAACAAATATTTACCACCTTTCATAGAGAGATCTAACTCATTTCTTACTCCCTTGGTATTTTGACCCAGAATATGCCCCCAAAAATGTGTTCCGCACTGAAATAGGAAACTGTCATCATCACTGATTCCCCAGGCAGAACATTCTTTCACAGATGAATAAACTGATTTTTTTTGGAAGTGGAAGTTATTTGTGCAAGATTGAAAACACAGATTTTAGTTGAAAATAAAATATCTTCTTTCTGTACACTAAGCTGATCTTAATGATTTCTGATGTTAAGGATCCCTTAGTATCCGGATTCCTCTCTATAACTCTTGTTTTTACTTAAAGTTACTGTACATCAGCTTTTAATTTCTGCCAGACTGAACAACTCCAGCTTGCATGTTTGTGAATGTTATGGTTGGAAAATGCTCCTAAACATTAAAGTAGTACTATTAGAACATTCATATAGCACATATGACATTTTGTTTTTGTTTTGTTTTAGTTTTCTTGTTTTCCCCCACACAATTTTGTAGGGATTCATCCCCTTACCTGCCCTCTCCTCTTCCTGCCGTTCCATTCCCCTATACTGTCACAGTAGTACAATCTGTTGGTACAAGATACAAGTGTAACTTTCCAGTATTTAAGTGTTTCCTGACTTGCTAAGTACAGGCAAAGGTACAAAACCTAGTATTGTAATATATGTCTGCATCGGGAAGAGTGATCTGCAACTCTACATTTATATGAAGCTTCTAGAATGTTAAGTATGTTGTCCAGAAGCTTCGAATTGCATAGCCTCCTGACCTTTTATACTTAGTTTTTTTTAATTAAATCCCCATATAAATTGAGAGATACTCGTGTTTAGTCCAATTCCTCTCCCTATGATAACCTTCATTTCTGTTCTCCTGGCTGCTGCATTTTTTTGTTTGTTTTTGACTTCAAGGCAACAATATGATTCCCTGAGAATATACCAAAAAAACTTTGTTTACACAAAGCAAATGAATAAATCACATGCAAAACAGTTTTGTTGTTGTTATTTTAAAGATTTATTTATTTTTTATTGCAAAGTCAGATATACAGAGAGGAGGAAAGACAGAGAAGAAGATCATCCATTTGATCATTCACTCCCCAAGTGACTGCAACGGCCCAGTTCTGCCAGGAGCCAGGAACTTCCCCAGGTCTCCCATGCGGGTGCAGGGTCCCACGGCTTTGGGCCATCCTCTGCTTTCCCAGGCCACAAGCAGGGAGCTGGATGGGAACTGGAGCTGCCGGGATTAGAAATGGTGCCTATATGGGATCCTGGTGCATTCAAGGCGAGGACTTTAGCTGTGAGGCCACTGCACTGGGCCCAGTTTTGTTGTTTTTGTTACAGTTTCAAAAAATGGTTGTTTCTAAAAAGTTTTTGCATTGAGCTATATTTGCACTTTCTTGTTTTGAATTGAGAACTCAATGTCTTTCATTCTAAATTACAAATCAAAAAGTGCACCAAAGAATGCAGATATTAGGAGCTTGCCAGTTTTAACATATAAGCTATTTTAAATCATTTAGAAATGTGTTCAGATTATAAAACTTAAAAGTCCAACTTAAGATGCATTCAAGACTTACAGATGAAGGATATTCCTGAAATGAAAAATACAAAACTTCAAACACAAACTTTTTCTAATTACCATCATGAAAAAACTCACGACTTCTTTAATGTTCCTAATTCAATGGGATTTGATCAAGACTGTTCAGTAAGTGTTTCAGCCCCAGTTTATCCACAGTCACAGCAGCAGTCAGCAATTTAAAAAATGGTGTTTGCCATGAATGGTGTGAGATTGTGTCTGCTTGATTAATACGTTTTATAATAGGAAAGGCCCTCAGTAAAAACAATAAACAACTTAAAACATTGTTAAAATAGCAAAATACTAATCCCTTAGTGATACAAAGAAACTTCAAAACATTCATGGAAATTAGAATTCAAAGTTAGGTTTGGGCCTGGCACGATAGCATAGCAGTTAAGGTCTTCTTCGCCTTGAGCTCACCAGGATCCCTTATGGATGCCGGTTCTAATCCTGGCAGCCCCACTTCCCATCCAGCTCCCTGCCTGTAGCCTGGGAATGCAGTAAAGAACAGCCCAAGACTTTTGGACCCTGCATCCTCGTGGGAAACCCAGAGGATGTTCCTGGCTCTGGGCTTCAGATTGGCTCAGCTCCAGCCGCTGCGGCCACTTGGGGAGTGAACCATCGGATGGAAGATCTTCCTCCCTGTTTCTCCTCTCTTTATATCTGCCTTTCCAGTAAAAATAAATAAATAAATAAACCTTAAAAGAATTCATTTTGGTGCAAAATAAGTTAAAATCCACATCTGTTTGCAAAGGACTATACTATTGTAATATTATAAGGGAAGTCAGTGGTTGGGAAGGGTGGGAGGGAGGGAGGAGAAATCCCTGAGCCTATTGAACTGTATCATAAAACATTAAAAACAGGGCCTAGTGGCTAAAATCCTTGGCTTGCACGGATTGTCATCCCATATGGGTACCAGTCCGTGTCCTGGCTGCTCCACATTCCCTCCAGCTTCCTGCTTGTGGTGTGAGAAAGCAGTCGAGGATGGTGTAAAGTTTTGGGACCCTGCAGCAGTGTAAGAGTCCTGGAAGAGGCTCCTGGCTTTGGATTAGCTCAACATAGCCTGTTGAGACAGTGGATAGAAGATCTTTCCATCTCTCCTCTCTGAAAAAATTGACTCTCCAATAAAAATAAATAAATCTATAAAAAAGAAAAGAAAAATTTTGCAAATGAGCAGATGTTCATACTAGCAATTAAAGGGCAAGTTGGGATACTGGCATCAGATATTGGAATGTCTGGCCTCCCAGCTCCTCTCCTGAGTCTGGCTCCTAATTGGTACAGTTGCAACGTTTTGGGTATAGATCGATCCATTGCTTAGGTCCCTGATAAGCACGTGGGAGACCACTGAATTGAGTTCCTGGGTCTTAAAGTAGGTCTGGCCCAAACCCTGTCTTTGGGGGCATTTGGGAATCAGGCATGGATAACTATTCTATCTGCCTTTCGAAATATGATATGACACCAGCTCTGGACCAACCCAGTTTGACTGTAGCTGCCATTTGACTAGTAAAGCAACAGATGAGTTCTCTCTCTCTAACTTTCAAGTAAAATAAATAAATTTTTAAAAAGAAAGAACAGAGAGAATGATAAAAAATGAGTGGATATACTAAGAGAAGAAATGCAGATAGTCTATACAAGCTGGAAAGGGTCCGGAAATGGATTCTTCTCTACAGAGAAAGAGCATAGTTCCGTCCATTCGTTCTAGACTTTCCATCTCTAGCACTGGAGATAAAAAATGCACATTTTGTAAACCACTAGTTATTGTACTAGTGGTGGAAATTTGTCACAATAGTATGAGAAAACAAGTATTCTTATAAAGAGTTGAATTTAACAATAGAGTTCTTGTTGATGAATTCCAAGCTGCAGGGTTCTGAGTGATTATAAAGAGGAAATGGAGGCAGTCATTTGGCATTCCATATTCAAGGGGCTGATCTCAATTCTGGACTATGGTTCCCAAATCCATTTCCTCCCAATGCATATCCTGCAAAGCAGCAATGATGGCTCAACAGGTTGGTTTTCTGACCCCATGTGAGAGACCTGAATTGTGCTCCTCTTTTCTATTATTTGGGTCTAGCTTAGGCATTTAACTGGTTGAGTTGAAGCACTCGCTCTCATCCCACTTCCCAACCCTGTTATTACCTGCTCTGACTCTTAAACAACAAAAGCATTTAAAAATTTTTTAATTTAAAGGGAAATGACTTCTAGATCCTCTTTTCTCCCCTTCAAATTTCCTACTTCTTCAACTTCATGTCTGGAAATAAGAACGAAAGAAAACACAGGGAATTTACCAATGCCTGATTTCCTAGTTCCAAGATTCATAACTATTCTGTCTTGCTCTTCCCACCATTTAAAACCTTCTTGGATTTGTTGTACACCTAGAATATCTAGAGATTTTAGTTATTATTTAGTTTAGAAGGATAAGGAAAACCCTTCCAAATTGAGCTTTTGAACTGTACTTTTTCAAGTGCTTGCTTATTTGAGTCTTACAATTTCCCCCCCACCATTGTACATGAATTACATATATTTTAAATAGACATGTTTCTACACATAATGTCTGTACTAGTACTTTACATGTCATGTAGTAATCAATATGCAAATAAAATTTATTTTGCATAAAATAAATATCTTCAATTTTAAAAAGACATAATTTATGTCCCCAAATTATGTAATACTTAATTCATCAATAATACAAATTCCTTTTTAAAATGTTATTTTACTTATTCTATTTTATTAAAACTCAAAAAAAGAGACAAAGAGATGAATGTATGTCCTCTTCTGCACTTATTTTTCTGGTTCCTGGAATGACCGAGCTGGTCTAGGCCAGAGTGGACAGCCAGGCATTCAGTGTGGACTTTCAACATCAGTGGTAGGCAATCAGTTATTGATCCATCATCTGCTGTCTTCCAGGGTTCATATCAGCAAGAAGCAAGAATTTGGAGCTGAACCAGGACTCAGGAACTACAATAAGGAATGATGGTGCCCCTCAGCAAAGCATCTTAATTGATGTGCCAATTGTGCCTTCCTCAAATGGAATTTTCTAAAACATACACAGGGATTTTGAAAGTATTTAACAAGTGGTGTGGCACAGGCAGAAGCTATTGCATTGATCGCTCAGTGGTGGAAAAGATGCTTGACTGGTACAACACAGTGAAGGGTATCAACCCAAGTGCCATAGGGAAACTGACAAAAATCCTAAGGGCAATGGGCTTCATGCCAACGTATTGGGAAACAACACCTCCTTTTCCCTCCTGGTGAGAATTCTTGTCAGAATACTTAGAGTCATTAAGTTCAAACTTCTATTTTCACATGAAATTATTTTCTTTGTATCCCTCTCTCCCCCTCTGGCAACACCTATTCATGCTTACAAAATAAAATTTGCAAATGTTCTCTCAAGTGCTTTAATGCTAAACTATTTCTTTGCCCAGCCATTTCTTATCCATCTCTTTTTCTACCAGTTAATAGTCACTGCCTCTCACATGATATTTGTTATGTAAAACGACATATTCTATGCCCTACTGTGTATAAGAAAAGTGACATCTAGAATTAAATCTAATAGACATTACCATTGGCTGGACCTCAGGATTTATTTGTTTGCAAAATGCATATCAGCCATAAATAAAACTGCATTACAGAAAGGGCTGACAGAGATAGATTTAGAGTTAAAATCACATATAGATTTTCTGAAGTGTCATTCCTAATCAGTTGTTAGGAGCTTTTTGTTGGGAATTCTGCAGCTGAATTTTGTCTCAGATGAAAACTACAAAGCCTAATTAGTAAAAATCAGCAGTGATCACGGGATGAACGAATAAAGACCTAGGAGCCAAGTGCTTTGTGTCAATTATATGGAGCAAGGTTGAATAAAAATTATATGGCATGTTACTCTAATTCCTCTTCCATATTTGAAGTGCTCTTTGAGTTTTAGAAAGTAAATGAAATTTAGAAGCATTCTCAATCCTTCTGCCAGCAGAGCTGAGATAGGAAACGGCTTCTGCATGACAATAAAATATTTTTTACATCATATTGCAGCATTCAGATAACACATGCGGGGAAATTAATCAAAGATATGTAATGAGGTATTTCTAGGTGTAATTCTATTGAAGAAGAACATTTTCAAAATAAAATCATAATATGCAATTTAATCGTATTACTGAACACAGAAAACACAGTAAATTTAGTCCCATCATTTTTTAAATGATTTTGATATAAAAATGAGTAGAAAAATTCTAAAATATTTTTGCTTCTGCATGAACTAAGATATACAAATTAAATTAATTATAAGTGAATTGAAATTCTCTCATATAAATTAAAACACTTTTATGAACGGAAAATGGTGAAATACCACATAGTTCATTTACCTAAAGCTTCAAGCCTAGATTCTCTGAGTTCAGAGATCGGGAGACGTGCCAGGGGACCAGTGCAAACATGGTAAGAAGGGCAACCTTACCAGGTATTATTGCTTGAACATGAACCAGGATTGATCCTCTTGGCCTAACAGGTAACAGAAAAGTCCTGCAGACAGAAAAAAAAGAGCATAGGGCTTACAAGAACTTGAGGAAGCAGTACTTAGTTTAAATTCCAGTTACTAAGCCGCATCACTCACTGGCAGGATACATAAACCGTGAAACTCTCCAAAGACATTCAGAGCAAGAAACTTTAAATTTCCATAATCAGACCCCTTGCGGGACAGGGATCCAGGGGTGATCACACAACTCCTAGTCAGTAAGTACAAGTGCACAGTGAGAAAAACAATCTCATTGAATAGGTGACAAAATGAATCTCCCAGATTCCATAAAGACAACATAAATAAACATGCAGACCAGCTAACCAAACAAAAACCCCCAAAACAAATAAAAATTAGATGTTACTAAACATGAATGTGTAGAAATAAGAAAATTAACACTTTTATATTTTGAGACTAAAATCATTGCAATTACAATTACAAAGGACATGTATTTATTCATATTATTTCTGTTTATAAATATAATTCTTGAATAATGGAAATAATGTACTTGGACATGTTAGAGTGTTATCTGTGAACATGGTACATGGAGTTTAAAATACTTAAAAAAGGGCCTGGTACTATAGCCTAGGGGCTAAAGTCCTCCCCTTGCATTCATCACAACCCCATATGGGCAGCAGTTCATGTCGCAGCTACCCCATTTTCCTTCCAGCTCCCTGTTTGTGACCTGGAAGAGCAATCGAGGATGGCCCAGGGCCTTGGAACCCTGCACCCTCATGGGAGACCTGAAGGAAGCTTCTGGCTCCAATTTCAGATTGGCTCAGCTCCAGTCATTGCAATCACTTGCGAAGTGAGTCAGTGGACGGATCTTTCCTCTCTGTCTCTCCTTCTTGTTGTAAACCTGACTTTCCAATAGAAATAAACAGATCTTTAAAAATATACTTAAAGGAACTTTGTTTACAGACATGGAAAATACTTTTATATTCTCTAAGGATGAACAGGAGTCTCTCCTGTACCTCCTATATAAGATACTCCTTTTCCCGAAGAAATTGAGAAATCAGAAAATACAACGGCTGACTACCTTTCCTTATAATGCAGATCCTAGGAGGCAGTTTGAATAATCAAGTAGTCGCATCCATTCTTATACACTTGGGAGACATGGATTAATTTCCTTGTTTATAGAAGCAGCCATTTGAGGAAGGTTACAGTGGAAATGCTCTCTCTGTGTCTCTCATTCTGTGTGTGTGTGTGTGTGTGTGTGTGTGTGTGTGTGTGTGTGTATGTTTCTATGTGAGTGTATGTCACTCTCCCCCCAATATACTCCCCTTTCTCTCAAAAACATGGATTTTTAAAAATGTAATGTTTACAAAATAAATTGTTTTTTAAAAATACTATTTATTTCAAAGGCAGAGTTACTCAGAGTGAGAAAGAGCGAGTGAGATCATCCATCCATTGGCTCCCCAAATGACGTCAGTGGCCAGGGCTGATCCAGAACAAAAGCCAAGAGCTTCACCTACGACTCTCACATGGATACAGGGACCCAACAACTTAAATCATATTTTGCTCCTTTTCCAGGCACATTAGCAGGAAGCTGGTCAGAAGTGGAGTAATTGGAACTCAAACTCACACCAGAACTGGCTCCCACATAGGATGCTGGTATCTCGGGTGGCAGCTTCACCCACTACACAAGAACACTGGCCCCTACAAAAAGTGCACTCTGACACATACAGCATAGATGTCTCTAAAATGCTGCCTCATTCCTTACATTAAAATCAATCCATAAAAAGAAACCATTGTTTTTGGTCTGGTAGTACTGACAAGTGTTTGAGGTAGCAAAGAATAAATAAGCATATTAATATTCAAAATATCAGTTATCATATCATCCTTATAAGCAGTTTGCCCACTTACTCCCCAAATATTGCAAACAAGTGAAGCTAGTGGATTGGTGGTGTTGTGGGGTGCAAGATCACACCAGACATGTCTAAGGTTTATTAAGGAGTCTATTAATCAAGCTTGGTGACAATAGAGCACAATAGCAAATCAGAAGTCCATATGGCAATCCAACCAATCATAATCCAACCAATCATAATCCCAAAAGGAACAAATGGTCATTATCCTTAAGTCCATCCATTAAGCTGAAGACCTATGCCCCAGTTTCCCCAACAATATAAGCTATCCTAAGAGACATGCAATGAAAAACCTGGACACATTTATAAAGCTGCAGACATTCACCTTTCCCTGGCTTCTCTGCCCACATTCCACTACTGCTAGGCCTCACCTCTCCTGGGACTCCTGACAGTGCACAGATCAGAAACAACATTATTATATCCATTGTGCCATCTAAGCAGTACACAGGGACCATGCTCAGGGCATTACCTGTCCTGGGTCAGCCAAGAGTCGAGGTGCCAGAGTAACGGAAGCACCTGGCCAGAAAGAGAGAGAGCCCCTGCTTCATGGGCCCTTTAAAGGGGCTTGTGAGGGGCGTGGTTACACAACAATGCAATATCATCCCCTCTCAGTTGATAGGTGAGTCACAGGTGGGCAGGAGCGAATACCTAAGTGTTGTCAGCTAAGGAGCTGATTAGTGCTCCTTGGGATGGGCAGGAACAGGAACGGGGCTTGTAGCTAAAAACACCTAGACTAATTGGACTTCCAATATCCTGGCTAATTTAGGATGGGAAGGGAGTGGTTGAGGATGGAATTAACATTCCATTGCTGTTAGGACCACCTTCAGGACAGAGGGTAGAGAACTCAGCTACATTTCCTTTGCCCAACGGGTGCTGGCTATCACTGGCTGTACCTCATAACAGTGGTCATTACAACATTGAATTTTGGCTTGAAATAAGAGATGGGACATCAGAAGCTGTATCTCCACCTTTATAAAACAATATATGCAACTACACCATCTTTAAAGAAATCTGCTTGCATGAAAACAGTTATTCTCTTAAGTTCCACATAACCACCAAATTAACTACTTCTGAGACATTGTAATAAATTGAAAGCAATGCTAATCTTTTTCCCTAGGGTGACTGCATGTGACATGAAGGTTTTGATTTAATTCTTGGACTGTTGGGCTCTTATAAAACAGTCACAGACAATTTTATAGGTGTCATATAGAACACTTTTAAGTAAGGAGTTTTGAGTCAAGTTGTTCTGTACTTTATGTTTCAGTTTTTTTTTTTTTCCTGGCTAATGAGAGCACTCTTGCCTGAAAAAGACAAATTGTTTGTTTTTCTTTGTTTCATAACTTGCAGCAGTTCATTTAGAGTGAGCGTTCCTACTGAGTGTTTTTAATGAGGTTTGTGCTTCAATCAATACTCTAAATACAATCTAGCAAGGTATTAGTTTACTATCTCATCTTCATAATTTCTAACATCCTCAAAAGTAACACAGATCCAGAAACTACAGCCCATAGTGTTCAAAATGATGGCCTTTTCCTGCCAGATATAATGAGACATTATAAATTCTTTAGAGTTTTCTGTATCAGTAGCTTGAAAAAAAAAATTCTACTATAAATACAATGGCCGTAGAAAGTATCTTGCCTCTGTGATTGCTTGGATAAAATTCATTAGTTTCTAGTCTGCATTCTCTCAGCATCATTTATGGCTACAAGAAAAATCAACAGCACCTCCGACTGCAAAGAAATGAACAGTAGGCTCTGGAATTCATCTCATGTTTATTTTGATAAGAGACCTATATTCATTTCAATGAAATTTGATAGGAAGTGAAGCTGTAGCAGCAGCAATGAGTTCATTTCCTTGGATTTCCTCTGCCCAAGCTGCCTGAGAGTTTGCCCTCTCACAGGAAGACATTCTGGGATTTTGTTATTAAGCTTTAGCTACACTGCAGTGTTTCCATTCTTTGTTATCTGGCAGTTAGCTTACACAAAACAGCTACCCTGAGGTTTAATTTTTTATGTCTGTTTTTACTATTGCTTCCAAGAGCTAATATTAGCATTCATATTTTGAAGTCATTTAAAGTATTATCTTTGAATTAACATTTATTTTATTGATGCAAATTTTACTAAATAATTCCTGTGAGATATTTAAAGATTTCTTTTATTCAAATGATTGTGTAAATACATCAACAATTCACATTTTAAAGTGTCATTAACAGCTAATCTTTCAGCAGAATTTCTTGTTTCAATTCTCCAAAAATTGCTTAGAAAACCTTGTCCTAACGACAATATATTTAATATTAAGTCTGGGAGACACTTTTAAAAGATAAAGCAAAAGTCAAAGAACAAGGTTTATAAAGAGAGGAAAATGTATGATTTTTTTTCTGAACAAGAATCACCTCATTTGATGTAAATTATACTCAGGAAGAAAAACCATGGCAAACAAAGCTATTTTAAGTGCAGCGCATTGTGGCATAGCCAATGAAGCTATTGCCAGCAACACCAGCATCCCATTTAGGGGCTGGCTAATCTCCTGGCTGTTCCACTTCTATTAAGGCTTCCTGTTAATACCTTGAGAAAAGCAATAGAAGATAACTAGAGTGCTTAGGCTCCTGTCATACATGTGGAAAAACCTAGAATAACTCCTGGCTCCTACTCCCAAAATGATTAATATACTCTGACTGTTGTGACCACTTGGAGGGTGAAGCAGCAGTTGGAATACACCTCTCTATGTCTGCCCCACCTCTCCATAACTATGACTTTCAAGTAAATAAATGATTTTTTATCTTTAAAAAACTATTCTTAATAAGTAAAAATTCTATCATATAAAATTAGAAGTTTCTAAGTTGTTAACTAGAATCTTGGTATCCTCAATATGTCAATAGTTATAAGAAAATGTTTCCAGTTCTGACAAGAACAGAGTCAATGCAGGCTAATATAATATATTCCAGCTAAGATTTTCTGAAGATATGATTAGTATTTCAAACAATTCTTTTAATATACCTTTCTCAATTTTACAAAAAGCATTCGTGACAGTTATTTTAAATACAGTGAGCCCCCTAGTGCATTACATATTTGCTTGAAGATTATTTTCTCTTTTGTCATGGAACAGATAAAATGCTGAAAAAAAATGATGGACAATTTATCAAAAGC